CTTAAGGGTTTTGTCGATAGATCGGGCAGCAGGGCACCCGGTGACCAGAAATCTCCAGAGGTTTGTTGCTACGGGAACCCAAAGGCTGCAGCTGTGGCTGCGGCCGGTGCTTGGGATGGGGCCGGTTCAAGGGAGTTCGTGGCCATCTTTGTTCTTGAAACATTGAACCCTACGGTCACTGGGGGGGGTGGGTTTCATAAGTCGCCCCCCCTTCTGCCAGCCCCAAGGTCGTTAACTGTTCGAGCCACCCACTTATCGGACAGTCGCACGAGTATGATTTCTCTGATTTCTCTGATTTCGCTGATTTCTGTGATTATGATTCTGATTTCTACTTCTCCTTCTCTATAGAGACCCACTTTATAGATTTATTTGTTTGTTTGCACAACCGTCTGGCAGGGAGACACCGCAGGAGTCACCGACTGTGATATTTGGGCATGGCCCTGTCTCATGTCAGCGAAATTGCCAGCGAAAATTTTCCTACAAATTGAGAGTCGTAAAGCGGTTTTATGGATCGAGCCCCCCCACACACACACACACACACACACACACACACGATAAACGGATACTCGGATACTCGGGCACTCGGATACACGAACTATACGTAAGCGCCACAGTGAAAGAAGGCATGATACTTTGTACCACAAACATTTCCCAATAACTCGATTAGTTTGCAACATATGTACTTTCAAGCGATACTGAAGAATTACTTAGGTTGACATTTTTCGGAATGGAATGTTAACCATTTTGTTTACGAGAAATATCCACATGAGAAAGAAAGAGAGAGAGATGATTGAATTCAAAGAATTCATGCCAATCGAGACTTGATGTACAGATATACAGACCCGAAAAACAAGTGTGCATTCATTTCCCAGTATCAGTCGCGATTTGATATTGATATTGATATTGGATTCTAGATCAGACGGATGTCGTCGGTGGTGTGTTCTGCTGATTTCCGTCTGGAATTTCGACTTCCCCTCACGGCTCCAACGGAAGACTTCGAGGCAAAAACAACACAAAAATCTATCGTATCGTTCGAGGCGACAACGACAACTGACTGCCGAATAGAGTCCTCCCCCAACACATGGCAATTTCTTGGGCTTATATAAATCTGATTTCGGGGGGGATCATAAATTGTGATTCGATTGGAACGCATGTGGATCGCGCGGAGCGATCGGTGGCGCTAATCATGTGGAACATTTCATTCCTTTCCAAGTAATCTGCTGTTGATAATACAATACTTGGCGCATACTTCAGAACCCGATATCGGGTATAAATTAGTAGGAGAAGGCGACTGTACCAACTGTACTTTTGGATTCTTAATAATAGGCATGACAGGCCCTCCCCATTTTGGGTTTCAGTTCCAGGATGAACTAATTCAAACAACCACGTCAGCACCCGAATCCCCGGCGTCTTGACTGAAACGTGATCTGGGCAATCCATCACGTACGGCTCTGGCCATGATATCACCATAACACATACAGTACGTACGTATATGTATATGAACAGTGTACACCTGATAGATATAGCTCTATAGCTCCTGCTCTTCACATAGCTGTTGTTTGTCTAATTCAACAACAAAATACGAGCAGATAAACCTGAACGAACTCCCAAGTGGGTGCGAGCTTAATATTGGGGTTGGCTGTTATACTCTCAAAGAGTGCGGGTATTATCGGATTAGTAAAAATGTTTGAACAGTCTCTTCCTTCTAGAGATAATCCACACAGAACGACGGAGTTTTAGGTTTCGTACTTCAGATTATAGTTATATTCGATTTTTCATAATCGTTGGTTGATCTCCTCTCAACGATCGCTGTACAAGGGTATCAAAAGTTTCGGCTCGGTCCTCTGAAGGTACCCTGGTTCATTCCTGGTTTTATTTTTTGCACTGCTAAAATGTTGACAAGCATTTGATTAAAGAGTGGCTGGCGATTGGGAGGGTGGTACATGCATGCGGGGTGGGCGGACCAGAGTATAGTTGGAGCACGTCTGTGGTTCATGGGTGGTACGGCGGTATGTACAAGATACTAATGATAGATGAGCAGCGGGTTGAAGTTGAATGATTGCCATGCTCTGGCTGGCTGGCTGGATGGCTGGATGGCAAAACAACAACAGAATCATAGATATCAAAAATATTTTGAGGAGTTGCGAAATTGAGTCCGAAACGAATGATGATGTAATGGCGGATCGTCGTCCTCCTCTTCCGTTGGTGTACGTCCGCAACCTAACAAAATTCTCGATAACTTCGATTTCTGAGACGCAAAAGCAAACGTTTCAAAGGTGACTACTGCTAATCCCTGCTACTGAACCTAAGCCAGCAGTTTCTATAAGTAATGGCATTGCACTCATGATCTCGAGTTGGACAAAAAACAAAATTGTTGAAAAAGTTTTCGAAAAAAAATGTCTTGTATTAAAATGCGGCATTATAAAGATTTCGAGATAATCAATACTTAATCGCTTTATAATCGCCTCACACACACACAAACACGCCATACACATCGTATAGATGGTGGAGAGCACTGTATACCGCTCAGGATTACTTATTGTTATATGGCGGCATCGTCTGGTCACGTGTTTATGACGTACTTCTGGGCTTTGTTTGCAAGATTTACTTTACGAGTGCCGTAAATGCGACTGCCAATGATAGATGGCATTACAACATCCCACACAACACAATTTGCAATTTGCATTCAGAGATACTAGTGCTGATAATGCTGGCTGGGATCACGGGACTGCGACTGGGTCAGTTGTGTCATTGGCTAACTGCATGCGATACCTTCAGATAAAGCCAAGAAAGAATGCGCCCTCTCAAGCGCCCAATGATAAGCATGTAATCAGAGGATATTAGCCTCTTGTCGATCCCAGCCAGAACAGATGCAGATAATCTTTAAGTTATGTTAAACAAATGATGAGTATCAAGAGGGGTTCCCCTTACATGAGAGCATGATTAAAGCCAACGCCTTGTACTACAAGTGATTTATAGCTTTGATAATTCATTGGTTAGTTCTACTTTTAATGGTCTACTATGATACAGCGATTTTTAAGCTAATAACTACGCAGCCCGCAGTCCGCAGCCAGGAGTACTACAACATTTCGATGAGATGAATCCCATTAAAAACATGCACAAGAATCTGTAGTTAAATATATAAATCTGTATTATAGTATCTTTACATCTAGGCGAAAAAAATTTTGGGGGGGGGGAACGTATAGAATGTATTGCGACAGACACGATGCGGAAGTGCCGCCTTCGTCTCCGCCTCCCGCGCGCCCCTTTACTTCAGAATGGACCATTTGAGTTGTTCGCGCGCCGATTGCAGTACCTGAAAGATATCACATACACATATAGAATGGCAGATACACAGAGATACAGAGAATGGTCGATCAATTAGCTAATGAAATCAAAAATTCACTTCACAGAGCCAATGAGCAAAAGTTCAAGACATTAAAAACAATATTTATTTGATCATAAGTACAAACGCAAGGGTGGCAAATATCTAGGGACTTTAAGGAATTGCAACGAACGTTGAAACATAAAGAAACTAAAAATATAGTCGACTTCTACCCATACTACTTATAAATAACGAGCAAATTAGAGTTCTTGGTTGATCGATTACTGCTTGAAGAGCCTACAGACTAATTAATAGAGATACTAAGAGATAGAGGGGGTCTGGGGGCTACCAAAAAAGACCATTTAGTGTGCTAGTTACCTGAGCAACGGTCTGTTCGGCAATGGGAATATCATCGTTGCGCAGATCGACGCGTTTTACAACCGACGAGGGATCCGCATCCAGGATGATTCTAAAATATAGACACATTAGCCATATTTCGCTTGAGAAGAAGCTACTTTTATATGCATTATACTCACCCCCCATCGCAGATCTCGTCAAAGGCCAGCATTATGATCTCCAGGTTCTCCAGCACCAGGCGCTTCTCGACATTCTTCTTCAGTATAAGGCTGATGGAGTCGTACAAGCAATTCAGCACCGACAGCAGAATGAGCTCATTCTCGTAGGCGTTGCCCATCACATAAAAGAACAGATCCACGTTGCTCTTGTAGACACAGGTGAGGCCGTCCAGCATAATGATCTCTGTGTTGGAGCGGTGCGTCTTGTTGAACAGATTCTTCTCAAAGGCCTTCTGCTCCTTCAACGTGGACAAAATGTTTTTGTCGTAGTATTTGGCCAGAATGCGGTTGCCATCGTTGTCCATGATGCACATGCCCTTAATAATGTCCTGCAGCACACCGGCATAGTTAGGAATAGTCAATTATTTACTTTATTTCAACATTTACCATCATAAATCCGTCCATTTTTGCTTGTTTTCGTGTTTTACACGTCACAATTAGAGATGTACAGTTATTTTTATCGATAAAATATACCCTCAGAAATATACCCAAATATACCAAAATATACGGTCTCATTAAAAAATATACCGTAAATATACTGACGAATTCAAGTCATATTTCACATATTCCTCGTTTTTGATATTCCGTCTTAAACCCCCTTTATTTAATTAGTTTAATACCTTAAATTCTTCTTGTAGATCAGTAGTACTGTTCATCTTTACTTAAAAAAAAAAACAACAACAAAAATAAAAAGTACAATCCGTATTGGGAGGCTCATTTTCCTCAATTCTACAAAAGCTGTTTTTATATCGATTTTTAAATTGTGTGGGTTCCAATGCAAACTCACCTTTTTATTAACACTAGGTGATCATGGAACATCTTATTAACGGACGTCATACTAATATCCAAGGATGACTCAATCTTGTCATCTTTGAAGTTTTTTTTGGAAGTTCCATTGAAAATCGAGGTTTCACATCTCTGCTTTGGCTTGTGCTGGAAGCTGTAATCTGCTCAGTGAACTGGTTCCGTGCGAACCATTGGGAACTGCCGGCGAGCGTTGTTTGAATTTGAATTAAAATGTGAAATTAGGTTTGCCATGAAAGTTCCGTAAACTTCATTTTAAGGAGAACGTACTTTGTGAACATAGGAAACGACTTGTCGTCGCGTCGCCAACAAAATTGAGAATATTCGTAACACGCCCGAGACACAGAGACATATTTAAGTTTATATATTTTATATAATAAGTTTTGCGCAATGGACACGCTGCCCGATACGGTGGCCCAGGAGCCACCCGGCAAGCTGCGTCGCCCGCGTGGCCCAACGGACTGCGCCGTGGTGGTCGCCACAACGCCCGTGAAGGCCAAAGTGCCCAAAACGGAAGGATCAAAGAAATTGAAGAAAAAACTAGAGCTGTTCGAGAGTGAGAATCAGTCGCTGAACAAGGCTATCAGTGACAAAAACAAGGAGATTACGGCACTGAAGAGATCCGTGGACTCGCTCAACGATGTCCTCAATTCGGTGCCCATTGACGAGCTACGGTGCAACTCCTCGATAGCCGGCACCAAGATACTGGAACTGAGCAAGAAGAATCGACAGATGCGCGCCGAGTTGGAGCAGATGAAGAATCGGGTGGAGAAGAAGGACCAAATGATCGGAAAGTTGGAGCGGGAGCTCAAGGCCAGCGAGGAGAAGATCCATCACCACCAGGAGTTGCTCAAGAAGTGCAGCTCGGCGGAAGAACTGCAGGCGAAGATGAATGGCATTCAGCAGAAGCTTTTCGAGTCGCGCAACAAGAACACAGAGCTGCAGAACCAACTGAAACTCGCCCAGAAGTGTCTTCAGCACGAGATCGGCGAGAGCTGTAACATCAACATTCTGGCCAATAATCTCAATCAGGCCAATTGGCGCGGACGGGCCCAGCAGATTCTCAATCTGCAGCAGAAGGTGCAGGAGTTGCGGGCCCGCGTGGAGTACTACGAGGAACGGGTGTCCGATCGCTCCGAATATGCGCCCATTCCAGTGGGTTTGGAGCTGGATAGTTCCTCTGGCTTTTCGCGGACCCCACGCACGGTCAATGGCAGCGCTAGCGCCAGCAGTTTCAATGTTGATGCCCTCTGCGGTAGTGCTACCTTTGACCGCTTCACGCCTGGGGTACGCAAGAACGAGATCCGGCACCAGGCCAAGGTGGAGGCATTGGAGAAGAACATCATAGAGTTGCAGTCGCAGCTGGAGGAGCAGCGTAGCCGCACCCTGGCCCTCAAGGTGCGCAACAAGACGTTGAACGAGGAGGTGGTCAAGTACAAGATGCGCTCCTCGGAGCTGGAGGAGCAGACCGACTACAATGGCATCAATATCAGCACCATGGGCGAGAAACTCGACCGCCAGCGTTTCCAGTATGAGACGCGTCTAGACGACATGCGCTCAGATCTGACACGCATGACGGAGGAGAGGGACAATGCCCGTCGACAGCTGGAGGAACTGAGTGGCATGCATCTGGAGCTGGAGACGACACTCAAGCAGAAGGACGTGGCTCTGACGAGTCTTCAGGATATGGTAAAGAAGCTGGAGATGGATTTGCGTGCATTATCCGGGGGATTCCTGTTTTCATGTCGCGAGTTTCGCAAGGTAATCCCAGCTCTCCCGCTCTGTTACTCTCTCTCTGCTAGCTCAATCTAAAATCTGTTTCTTTGATGGTAGGAAGAATTTGTGGGCATTCTGGATGCCCTGGAGGTGGAGAAGAATCAGCTCATGCTCCTCACCAAGAGCCTTAACGAGCGTATCGCAGTGGAGCGTACCAAGAACGAGGGCATCCAGGAGCAGAATGCAAAGCTCAAGGCCCGCATCAGCCGCATGGAGGCGAAGATCCGGGAAATGGAGAAGGAGCTGGACGTCCAGTCCGATAAGAAGAAGCGCACCCAGCGAATGGCCGAGTATGCCAGTTCGCTGAGTCGCTCTTCTCTTAACGGATCCATCGGGTCGTTCTCTTTCGACAACCAATCCCTCTATCAATCGGCTAGCACCTTGAACAGCCTGAACATCTCCACGGAACCCAAGACCGAGGATCTGAAGAATCAGTATGTGTATCAGTGCACCATCTATCCTCTATATTTCCAATCCTTGCTTCATTTTCGTGCAGATTGGAGCTCGCCCAAGAGAAGATCGCCATGTTGACGGAGAAACTTGATTATATCACCGAGGAAAAGATATCAGATGCCAAATTATTTGAGGAAACCATGCAGAACTCCAAGACCATCATTCTGGAGACCATTATGAGTGCCCACGAGGGTACCATCTCTGGTGGAGACGTTGGAGCACCCCAAAAGCTGATGGCTGGCTTGTCTGAGTCCTCCACCAGCGATAGCCTCTAAACGAGGAGACCTCCACATGATTTCTTTAATTTGATTGTTTAAAACTTTAGTTCTGTTTATGGGAAAATGAAAGAAAATGTTGGGAACCAAAAAAAAAAAAAAAAACACCGAGTGTTGCAATTTTCCTTCTTTCTTGTTCGATTATACAGCAGAACCCCTCGGTTGGTTATCGTTAAATGAAGAAGTGGCCGCCTTTTGTACTGTGGGGCATTTGAAAGGGTATGTATCTACCCAGAAGGCATAGTTTTAAATTATTAATGGCACAAAATATTTAATTATTTGTATAGATTTTTATTTGATTTGTAACACATTCACAAACAATAAAAAGGAAGCCTTTGGCGCTGCTTCTGCTTCTGCTTTCCGCTTTCCATTTCCATTTTGCGATTAGATTAATTCATTTAATTGTTAGGCGATACTTCGACTCTCCCTCTCTCTGTCTCTCTCTCGAAGCATATACGAGTAGTATATATGAAATTGTTATTAGTTTTAATGGTTGCGTTGCTGTCTATAGCTACTATTCATGTGTGTTGTGGTGTGTTGTTTGTGAGTTTCGTTAATAATACAAATATCTGTATCTGTATCTGTATATCAGCATCGTATAAATATGTAGCGTGACTCCAATTGCTGCTCTTCTCAAATCACATGGATAAAGTTGTTGTATTTCGTATACAGAATTCTTGTTTCGCTTCGTTATTGAAAATTCGTATTATCGATGCTATGTAGCATATATGTATGTAGATTTATGGTCTGTATAAGCTATGGTATAGTATATATATATATTTAATTGATTTATTAGTAAATTGGTTTGTATCTAAAAAAAACATCTTTTAGCAAATTAAAGGCACTTCTTCAAATATTCTTCTTCTCATGTGAAACGCAACACTTTTCTAATACTAGAATACAACATATACTCGTAGATCGGAATATACATATAAATATATATATATATATAATGTGTAGTATATAGAAACATAAACAATATTTATATACTTAACAAAACATACATTTATCCCATTACTAAAAAAAAAAAAAACACGAAGAAAAACAAGAACAGGTTTATCCGTTGCTTTCCTTTTTCTTTCGGATAAATTGACAAAAATTGTAGGGATAACGATATGCGCAATCTGAACGATCAGGCTATAGCATATAGCAAAAGACGAAGCTTTTAAAAAGCCCCAGGAAAAACCATTTTTATTTGATTATTTTCATTTTTGTTTTTTTGTAAGAGAATTTCTAATTAAATTAGAATTATTAGAAATTTGTAGTTTTTATTTTCTTTCTTTACCGAAGCATTATTTTAGCTATCTATATAGTAGATATATCTGGTGATATCTGTTGCATTTGCTGATTGGGCTGGCCATATACCATATCTAATTATCTGATTAATCAGCTGTATATATATCGATCAATAAATATCTGTTGTATCTAATAGATTTCTGATTCCGTTGAAGGGATTCATTTGCTGTAGATAAATGCAAACTGTTGGCTCGTGGCTTGGTCGCTCGCTAGATTTTAGAAATTACAAAAAAAAAAAAAGCTCCGCATCGTATTGGAATCGGATCAAATGTGTGGAATAGATTTATATCCAGCCTCGCCCGATTCATAGCTGAAACAAAGCTGTGGCTCGCTTTTATTGTTGCATGTCTCTGTCTCTTGTTTTCTCGTGGTTCTGGTCTGATCCGTTTTCCATTTCACTTTTTACACAATCTGCTTTTGGCTATATATATAATCTATATATATTCATATTTTATCGGAATAATTTAATGTGGTACAAATTTTGGATAGGATCAGCGTCCCTCCTACTTCTGTGTCGCATCCTCCTCCTCATCGACGTCGCCGCTTGAATACGTGATTGAAATACGAGTAAATGTCCTGCTCGGGCTGCTGCTGGTTTGGATTGGGCGGTGTCTTCCGTAGCAGCTCCTGCTGCTGCTGCTGCTGTTTGGGATCCATTTGCGGATGATAGTTGTTGTAGTGTGGATAGCCATGCATGTCGTAGGGATTGTGATGTCCTCCCACAGGCGGACCCGCACCCGCACCCACTCCTCCTCCTCCTCCATGCCCTCCGTGTCCACGGTGTCCCGCATTCTTCATCATGAGATGGGTGTGCATATTCCGGTCGGCGAGAAACACATTCACAAAGAACACGAGTACAAGGAGGATGTAGAGCAGGCAGACGAGGATCACCACAAACTGCTGGCGGCAGCAGCAGTAGTAGAACATTCCCTATTATATAACCGCATGCTCCACATAGTTGGCAGGCAGCATGCCGGTCTTTCCCGTCCGCTCCACGCGACCCGTCATCCAACCGGAGTCGATGGACTCCACCTCGTAGATGATGTCGCCCTCGCGGAAGCTCACCTCGTCGACGTCCTGCGCCTCATAGTCATAGATGGCCTTATACAGACGCTGCAAAGGAATACAGTTAAGATACATTTCTTTTCGCTTCCTCTAGAAGAGATTCTACTTACAGAATTTGAAGCCGCGCTCTGGCGCGATTGATTCGCCTGCACCGAGTTATCGTACGAGGGCTGCTGGCGCATCTGCTGCTGCTGTATTTGTTGCTGCTGCAGCTGCAACTGCTGCTCCTGTTGCTGCATCTTCTGCACCTGAGCGTAGTACTGCTGATGCTTCTGGGCATGGGCCTGCTCGGCGCCACTCAGGGAACCATAGATCCCGTTTGCAGGATCAATGTCCGTCACAGAGCCAATCCTCTTCGGATACACACTGTTGCCTACAGATAAAGATACACAAATGTTGTGATTTGAAGGGTGTTCTTTAAGAGGAGTCTGTCTGGGACAAGGACACAAATGACTGAGATGATGGGTTCACACATCAAGCGGACTATTTTACTACCAGCTAGCCTTCCGCCGCCTCTGTCGCCGTTTACTTACCGCCTCGCTGTTGCTGCTGCTGTTGCTGCTGCTGCGTATCGGAGCTGTAGACCAGAGTGGTACTGGATCGCCCGGATCCCTGCACCACCCGTGGGCCATCGGTCAGGGGATCATAGTCGGCGATCTTTCCAATGTTGCCGCTGCCTCCAGGGATCATCTTTTGCTGATGATTGGACACATGTCCATTGACCACATTTAGGGCGTTCTCCGAGGGCGTCACCGATTGATAATTGGGCGAGGCATACAGCTGCTGTATGGCTGATCCCGCTCCCCCTGCTGATCCAGTTGCCGGTCCGCTGTGCTTGCTCCTCATCTGCTGCTGCTGCTGTTGCTGTGGCAGCTGCTGTTGGCCTATGTCGTTGTTGGTATTGGTATTGGCGCTGCCATCGTAGACACTAGTGTTGGCCCCCGGTCGACGCATCTGCGGTGGCAGCATCTGCTGGGATCCGTTGTTGTTGCTATTGAAACTATGATAGGTGGTGACACTGCCATTGCTGGGATTATTATTCAGGTGGCTATGATGTGGCACCACAGCAGCCACTGCTGCCACTGGAGTGGGATTGTGCTGCTGCTGCGGCTGGTGCTGCTGCTGGTGCTGCTGCTGGTGCTGCTGCTGCACCTGAGGATGCATTTGTGCCGCCTGATCTGCAGCATTGCCACTGGGATGATGCGAATTCTGGAGTATGGCCGAGCGCATCTCATTGTAGGGATTCACCTGCTGTGGCTGTTGCTGTTGGGGCTGCTGCTGCTGCTGCTGCGATTGTGCTGTGGGATACAGATGTGACGACTGTTTAATGGCTTGCTGTTGCTGTTGCAACTGTTGCTGGTGTTGCTGTTGGCGCAGTGCCTGTGGTTGCTGGTAGTGTGCATAGGGATCGTGTTGTTGTTGTTGTTGCGCCTGTCCGTGGCCCTGTGCTTGTGCCTGTGCCTGTTGTTGCTGCCTCTGATTGTTGCCCTGTTGTTGTTGGTGTTGTTGCAGTTGTTGTTGGTGTTGTTGGTGTTGCTGTTGTTGTTGTAACTGTTGGTATGTGGGCGTTATGGCCGCTGTGTTGTATTGCTGATGTTGTATGGGTGGCGGTGGCAGTGTCTGTTGCTGCTGCTGTTGTAGAAAGTGTTGTTGTTGCTGCTGTTGGTGTTGCAGCTGCTGCTGCTGCTGTTGTTGTTGTTGGTGTTGCAGCTGCTGTTGTTGCTGGTAGTGATGTTGCTGCTGCTGTTGCAACTGTTGCTGGTGGTGTTGCACTGTTGCTGCTACTGCTGGCGGTATGGGTGATGTGGCTGTGGGTGCATATTGCGAGAATTGTTCAGCTGCCAATTGCTCAGAGAAATATTCCGATTCATCTATGATTTCGATGGGTTTTTTTTTGTTTTTGTTTTTGTTTTCGTTTTTTTTTTTAGTTGTTTTAGTTGGGTTTTTATGTACGTTCCACACAGAGTTCCACAGTTGTTTGTTAGTGTTGTATAATGCAGTGTAGTGTTGTGTAGCGTGTGCGTGTGCGTGTTTTGTCGTTGGGTTAACGGTAGTTCAGAAAAGCACACAAATTATGCGACAGTTGTCGGTGGTTGTTCGATGATTGTTGTTGTTGTTGTAGATATGGATGGATGGATAGGAGGTGGGGGCACAACAAATGATATGCAATAAAGTCCACAACAAAACAAAAAAAAAATATATAAAAAATAAAACATAATTATAATTAATATTTATTACAATGTGTGACAGTTGTGATGGAAATGATAGATACATTGCATTGTTGCAAAATGCACATACACATACAGTAGGGATATGCGTGTATGAACAGTGTTGAACAGTGGTGCAATGATGGGAGAACCACAAATAAGAAAGTGAACAAATGAGAAACGCCAGTACAGTGTTGCCCAGTGGATGTGCAAAAGTAGTGTTGGAAAGTTGGAAAACGAGTAGGTTTAAGGCATAATTTTAGGCATAATAATCAATGCATTTTTATCGAACACCAGGAATAAGTTTCAATAATTTGGATCATTTTGTAACACTGAAAATAACACTAGTGTTGGAAAACTCATGCACCACGGATCTGTAGGATTTCAAGACACTTTTCCATCGATTCTCACCGGAACACTGTTCCTTTTCTTTAACACTTTTGAACCACTGTAACGCTCTATTATATTGCTATTTAACCATTAGTTATGTCTCAGTGCAAACTGGCGATTGCTTGTGCATGCAGATGACGTCAATTGACAATTATAAACACATTAAATCAATTGAATTCCAAACATAAATTAATTCCAAGAGAAAAACTTAAGCTAACAAACAATTATTATTGCACACGAGTGAGCGAGCGAGCAGGCACAAAGAATAAAGCATTTAGTAGATAGATACAGATACAGGAACACTGGGAGTGTGTGAATGAGATATACATATGTATGTATATATAGAGATAGATAGATGATGGATGGAAGGAAGGAAAGGAAGGAAGAGAGAGAAGAACGAAACGGTACTTACTGCTGCTATCGGAGACCTCAGCCGAGCCGCGTTGCCGTTCCATCGCAGCCTTCTTCTCCAGATCCCCGTGATATGCCACATTCGATATGTGCTTCGTGTTCTGTTTGATTCTCAGCGTTTCCGGGTCATCGGCCACCTGTCAGAGGTTCATGGGAATGGGAATGGGAATGGGTATGGGAGATGGGAGATGGGGGGAGACAGGGCAACAATTAGTACAGTTAAAACCTCTCATACTCTGGATGTGGGGGCGAGGTACCTGTGTAAATTTGCCTTTGGCCTTCTCAAAGTCCGCATGGTATTTCACATTCGATTGGATCTTCGTATTCTCCGCAATGCGCTTCAGTTCGGGCGTATCAGCGATTGCCGTTGCCTTGGCCTTGGGTATATGCCTGTCGTCCGAAATGGAGAGGGAGAAAGAAGGAGGAGAATGATAAAGTGGGCTGGGATGTGGGCTGGTACTGTGTACTGTTGTGGCATGCCACACAGATAAAATGTGTTCGGAATACTGCCCCCGGGGGAAATCATCCCAATGCGCTGAACAATTTTCTATGCAGCTGGAGATTCACTCGGATTTCAGAGCCATGGGAGTGGGGACCTGCAGTCCGCTGCTCCGGGGCTTGAGACCATCCATCTGGTCTCCGTTCGCTAGTCTCTGATTTCTGTTTTATTCGTGTGAAAACCTCTGACCTCTCGCTGCGCAGAGTCGCTGCTCCCCCCCTGCAGCAGCAGCAGCAGCAGCAGCTGCCACAGCGGAGATGTTCATTTTTTTTTATCAATTAAAACAGCAACAGCCACAATTTTTGTGTGGCTTGATGCTGAACTTCTTTCACCCGCCGGCGAATAACGGTCCCCATGCCAGAGATTCCCCTGTGGCTAATTGGAATTTATCAAAAAATACAACAACCAAAACCGCAGAATAGTTTTGAGGTTTTGCTGTAAGCTAAGATCTGCAGAGATATTATGCCTCAGAAGAAGCTTATTCGAATAGAGGGAGAGGCGGGAGGAGAGCCAGTAAAAAGGGACAAAAAGAGCAGCTGCAAGAGCGAGAGCAAGCAGAAGAGAGGAAAGCGCTACCTGTGAGCTTTTGCTTTTTGATCAGCATAGAGCGAGAGATGCGATGGAAGCCGGTGCCTGGCAGAAGAGAAGCTTAAAAGCTAATATTATGCCTCAGAAGAAGCTTGTTCGAATAGAGGGAGAGGCAGGAGGAGTGCCCAATCAAAGAGAGCCAGTAAAAAGGGACACAAAGAGAGAGAGAGAAGATAAGCTTAAAGTAAAAGCATTTGTGGCTCTCTTTTGATCAGCATAGAACGAGAGAGAGAGGCGATGGAAGCGGTGCCTGGCAGAAGAGCTGTCTGGCTTAAAAGCTAAAAAGCCAAGAGAGTGAACTCAAGGGCGGCCCAGGGGTTAGGGGAAATCGAGTACGCATTAACTTGCACTTTAATTACAACTAAATTATGGACATTCTAGTGTTCCCAAAAGTATGCTACAAACACAAACAGAGATAGCACCATAATTCATAAACTTTTAGCTCACACTGTGTGTTTACTGTTTACTTGCTTTACTGTTATCTTAATCGAAATTGATGAGAGAGAAAAAAAAACGTACAAGCACAAAAGCTGTGATATTTTATGCGTGCCACACACAAACACACACACACACACGCAGAATACAACAGCATTGGCCCCACAGACTAATACATCAATTTAATTATTGTTATTGTCAGCGGCAGAGTGGCAGAGCGGCAGAGCGGCAGCAAAGGGCACGGGGCAGCATTTCGCATGTGTTATACAAAAGTAATCATAATGGACAAACAAACACGCACACACACACACACACACACACACACACACACGTACG